CAAATTACTGTATCTCATTTTGTCTCTATTATTTTTTGCTTTATTATGAAAAAAAGCACTCCCTCTGACCAGGGCTGGGGGGGGGGGGTGCACACCCCAGTAAATCCATCGCTGACCATACATCCTGATTGGCTGTGTCATATATATTGTCCTACAAATGTTGTTCCCCTTGGTGTAGTTCAACTCAAGTTTGCATCAAAACCTTATCTAACAGATGCTTCTCTGTTTAATCAGACATTCATATTTTTATAGGTTGAACGTGAAAAGCCCAGAAAGAAACGGAAGAAGAAAAAAGAAAAGGACAAAGACTTTGATCAAGATTTTCAGTTCTCTGGTTCGGATGACGAGGGACATATGAATGGCTGGAATCTTGAGGAAACTGTTGCACACTTGAGAAAGGAGGCTGTGGTAAGTTTCTGCAATATATTTCCAGTGAATTTAGTTATTCCAATATTAGACAATAGCTGTCACCTCAATAGCTGTGTGACAATAGCTGTCACCTCAATAGCTTTTCACCTCTCAATAGCTGCAACATTCATCAACCTGACACCCCATTTTCTCACCATGATCCTAAATACTTGCAGACACTAAAAGTCTTCATTCTTTCTTTTACTGTTTCTCACAGCTATTCATATAAAGTTTAGTAAGCCAGAACTTAATAGTGGTCTAAAGGCATCGAAATAATTAAATTGTTTTTCCATAATTTATTTGTTTGTAAATATACTGTGGGGTATTTGTTTGTAAATATACCTCATAAAGTGTTTCAATATGAAAAAACTCTGCAGTATTTCATAAAGTTTTCAAAAATTTTGTTCCCTAAAAATCAATACTGCTGCAAAAAAGTCAAACTACAGCAATTGCCGGAAGTGTCATGATAAAAACCCAGCCCTGGTCTCATTGGTACCGGTAATGTATTCCTCAATATAAGTCCTTCTTTTCCACATAGGAACCAACCATAAGTTTAGGTACACGGATCAGTGAAATGAGACAAAAAAGAAAAGATGAAAAGGTACTGCAACAAGTCAACAACAGACTCTGTGTAAAGTTACCTCTTTATTATATAATTGTATTAATTTGTCTTATACTCATTTGCAATACATGTGGAATGATGGATAAATAGAAATGCAATATTTTTCTCAGAAAGCTGTAGATGTTGAAGAAGAAAAAGAAATGCAGGCAACATCGGCGAACTATGAAAGTTCCGAAAGCGAAGGTCCTGACTTTGATGACGATGATGATGATGAAGTTGATAAAAATTCATCAAGAAAAAAGGTATACTTTTGAAATGTACCTGACAGTAACTTCTATGTGTCTAGAAGATAGGGTGAGGCAGTCAACCCATTAAGCGCCAGCGCTCTCCCCTTGACGAGTAAAATTGTCTGGCGTTAGACAGAGTAAAATACTAAAGTAGGGTGCATCAGGGTGCAATGCGACTCAATGGGTTAAGCGATAAACAGGGAAAACCCAATGTTTTTCTGAAAACCATTTCAACCAAGGCAAAAAATTTGGAAAAAATTAACTGTTTGAAATTCACTAATATTGAAACAAAATTATATTAATTCCACATATTTGTGCAAAGTCAGTCACATATTCTGGATCAATATTTGACACTGTTAAAAGGTGGCCTTTTATATGTCAAATTTTGACCTTAGAACCTTTACTGTACATCTTTCTCCAAGTGTCTCCACAGTGCAAGAAATGTTTCAGTCAGATATTCCATTGATGTCCCTTGATTATCCATTTCAGCCAAAGAAGGACGACTTTTTTGAAGAAGGACCTACTCAGTTTTCTGACCTGAAATTCACTGATATGAATTTATCCAGACCTATATTGAAGGTGGGTATGAATTGACCTTTAAAATAATGTAGGGTTCATCTCAGGTTAAGAATCCCTAGTTTGGTTAAAGTGCCTATGTCATG